CATAGCAGTATAGTATGTACAATAGTTAAGTTTATGCAGTTATTATTTAATAATACATCTTTTAAAATTTTTTATGTCAAACTATTAAGGGGTACAAACGTTTTTGTTACATGGATAGCTTTTATAATGCTTGAGTCAGGGCTATTAGTGTGCCCATAACCCAAATAGTGTTTATTGTACCAGTTAGGTAGGTTTTTGCCCCTTTCCCCCTCCCTTTTCTTGATTTCCAGTGACTTTACTTCCTTCTGTGTCATTGTGTGCCCACTGGTTAGTTCCAACTTATTAGAGAGTACATGTGGTATTTTTTTTTTTTTCCATTCTTGTGATACTTAACTTAGGATAATGGTCTCCAGTTCCATCCAAATTGCTGCAAAAGACATTAATTCATTTCTTTTTATGGCTGACTAATACTCTATGGTATACATAAATCACATTTTGTAAATCCACTCATGAGTTGATGGGCACTTAGATCAATCCCATATCTTTGCAATTGTGAATTGTGCTGTAATAAACATATGAGTGCAGGTGTCTTTTTGATAAAATGAATTCTTTTCCTTTGGGCGGATACCCAGTAGTGGGATTGCTGGATCAAGTGGTAGGTCTACTTTTAGTTTTTTTTGAGGAATCTCCATACTGTTTTCCATAGAGGTTGTACTAGTTTTCAGTCTCACAAACAGTATGTAAGTGTTCCTTTCCCTCTGCGTCCATGCCAGCATCTGTTGTTTTTTGACTTTTTAATAAAAGCCATTCTGACAGGGATAAGATGATATCTTATTATGGTTTTAATTTGCATTTCCCTGATGATTAGTGATGTTGAGCATTTTTCGTATATATATATTTTTTTGGCCATTTGTCTATCTTCTTTTGAAAAACTTCTGTTCGAGTCTTTTGCCCACTTTTTAATAGGGTTAATTTTTATTTCTTGCTGACGTGTTTGAGTTCTTTGTAGATTCTGGATATTAGCCCTTTATCAGATGTATACTTTGCAAATATCTTATCCCATTGTGTAGGTTATCTATTTACTGTTGATTATTTCCTTAGCTGCGTAGAAGCCTTTTAATTTAATCAAGTCCTATTTATTTATTTCTCTTGCTGCTGTAATTGCTTTTGGGGTCTTACTCATAAATTCTTTGCCTAGGCCAATCTCTAGAAGAATTTTTCCTGCATTTTCATCTAGAATTTTTATAGTTTCCTGCCTTACGTTTAAGTCTTTTATCCATCTCGAATTAATTTTTGTGAGTGGTGAGAGATAGGGGTCCTGTGTAATTCTTCTGTATGTAGCTATCCAATTTTCCCAGTACTATTTATTGAATAGGGCTTCTTTTCCCCAGTGTATATTTTTGTCTGCTTTGTTGAAGATCAATTGGTTGTAGGTAGATGGTTTAATATCTTGGCTTTCTGGTCTGTTCCATTGGTCTATGTCTCTTTTTTTGTGCCAATACCGTGTTGTTTTGTTTACTATAGCCTTGTAGTATACCTTGAAGTCTAGTAATGTGATACATCGAGATTTGTGCTTTTTGCTTAAGATTGTTTTGGCGATTTGGCATGGTTTTGGGCTCCAAAAGAAGTCTAGAATTATTTTGTCTATAATAGTGCATCTTTATGTTAGTTTGCATTTCTCTCGATTGCCAATGGCGTCATGTAGATCTGTAAGTATTGTTGTACATAAATTTTGATAAATTTTAACTTTTTATAATAGATTTGCATATATTTTAGGGTAGTAAATGATAAAGTAGACTAGTATCTACATATTTAATATATTTTATGCATTCATGGAATACCTAGCTTTTTCTTATTTTTTTCTATATTTCAATATGTCGTTTGCAAGTTGTTTCAAATTGTCACAAATCTCCCCAAATTTTTCTAATATATTCATTTAAAAAAATCTGTGTATAAGTAGCCATGCATAGTTCAAACCTGTGCTGTTCCAAGGTAAATTGTACTTTTAAAAACTGTCAAGAGGTTAGATCTCATGTTAATTGTTCTTACCACAATAAAATAAAAATGATAAGAAATAAAAAAGTATATGCACACAGAAACATACATACACATACACATACCATGAAAGTTTGAAGTATGATTTAACAGTGCCATTACTCTTTCACCTATGAGAAAACTCATTAACATGAGAAAACATTGACTTGATTTAAAATGATATAGAAATAAATTATTTTTAACTATGCACAGATCTGGGTTTAAAATTGATTTACATAATCATACTGTTTTATAGTCAACAACACAAGACAGACTTCAGGAAATGAGTGGTTAAATTAGTGACTCTGTCTACATGCTGAATATTCATTTATCACCTGTCAGAAATGTAATTTCGATGACATTTTTTTCTGTTCTTTCACTGGTCTACATATAGGAACTAAAGGTCATAACCTAGCCAGATATGGTCTGGCAAAGTGTTTTCCTTGGCTCACACACATCGTAAAAATTGGAAAATTCTACATAAAAATATTGGTTTCTGGATTTTCTTGAAAACCAGTCAGAAGGGCTTGCCAATGCTTGGCCCAAATTTCTGCATGAAAAGAATAGGCCAGTTCTAAGGAGCACATGTGCTTTAGGGTACATGGAGAGAGCAGTTCGCCATCACCAATTCTTCCCAGTCTAACTATCACATCCTAGTTTCCTGTACCTGACATTCTTTACTCATTTATGTTATCTTTTTGGCTCCTCTAGGAAATGGAGTATAACTTATTATACTTTATAATAAGTTCACTTCATACTCATCACTGAATTAGAGAAGATGTAATAAAGTCTGAACATTCAGTGGTAGAAACTGAATCATGAATTATACGATACTGTGAACAATTATTTCTGAATAGAGTAGAGAAGTTACAAAACTATTACCCTAAAGATATTTACCACTTATTTTTGCACTCTTAGTGATAAAACAGTGATGAAATTGGAGATGAACGAGTAGAAATAATGTACATAATGTGTACCTACTCTAAGTCACATGTCTAAAATAAAAGATACAAAACATTTCATCAGGTACTTGCTTTAATTTTATGTTAGCAAAAAATTTAAAATTCATGGCTACTGTTGGCTTACTATAATGTCTACTTCATTATGGAAATGAATCCTTTGATCTCTTTGGAGTGATCTATTGATGTCCTGGTGAGATAAAAAGTCATATTTGAATATTCACAAACACTAATTACTTATTATATGTTAAGATAGATACCATTCTGTGATATTCTAGAAGAGAAGGCAGGTTAAGTACTCTAATATTTATGGCTCATGATAAAGTCTACTACAAAGGCATGCTCTTGGTGATTAATAGGAAAAAATTTGGTGGAAAACACCAGTGGGAAATGGTGCGATAAGGCTTCTCTGAACAGGAACCACATTTTGGAATAAACTTTAGGAACAATGCAAATGAAAAAGGGAGAAAAATATTTCCAAGTGTAAGAAAATGTACAGAAGTGTGAGATTACAGGGCATATTGAGAGACCTGCAATTAGTGTGGTGTGGCTAGTACATAAGGTATATATTAGAGAAGAGAAGGAAAGAAGTAGAGAGGTCAATAGTAAAAAATGTGAAAAAGATTGTAGATTCATGCACGCCATTCTAAGGAGTTTGGCTCTCATCCACAAGTGCAATGTGAAGCCATCGAAACATCCACAAACAAGGGATAACATGAATCAGATTTACTTAGACAGATTATTCTGGAAGCAATATGAGTAAGAATGGATAAGACTGGAGGCAGAGAGTTCAGGTGAAAGGTTATACGATAATTTAGTCAATAATTGAATTAAGGTAAAGATATTCATCAAGAAAGGGAATATAGGGAATAAAGTGTGGGTAAGATGATGAGCCCAGATTTTGACACATTGTCCTTTAAGTGCTTATAAGACATGTAAGAAGGAAAAATACAAATAGGTACTAGAAATACTAATTAAAACAAATTAGAGAAAAGTATTCATTAGGATTAGTAAATTTAGACAGAAATTGATTGTGTTTCATCAGTGGTAGAAGCCAGATTATAGTGGATTGAGAAATGGATGGGATGTGAGAAGGTGAGACATCTAATTTAGTTGATTTTCTTCTAGGTGCTTGGCTCTTAAGAGAAATAGAAAAAACAGAAAGCCAGCCAGAAATTTGTCTGGGGATATAAAAAATTATACATATGTAAAAAGATAAGAGAAACTTCAGTGTGTTTGCTTATGAGAAAGAGAAGGGTGGATATACAGAGGTTGAAGATGCAGGATGGATCAAACAAGGATTGATGGTACTAGATCTTGGAAGAGGCAGGAAAAGGGAGTCCAAACCCCAGGTGTATCTATTAACATTGACTGAAGATGAATACCTTTTCCACTGAGCTGGGAAAAAGAAAGATGGATATGGTACAGGAATATTTGTAGGAAGGAAAGCCTGAAGTTGAGACAGTTTTAATAATTTCTTCTATGAATTAAGAAAGAAAGCATGCTCTGAGATGAGGAGGAAGGTCATGATGTCATTTATGTGTCCTCTCTTTTATTCATTTGTGCAACAAGAACTTACTGAATGTCACCATATGCCAAGCCCTCTACAAGGACCAGGAAAAATGACCATAACCACTTGGAGTCCCAGCACAGTGGAGTCTCTCAAACCACTGTAGCCATAAGTCAGTGCAGCAGCCACAAGGAGGCATTAGTAAAGTATAAGTTCTGCACTTCCACATTCAAACCACATCAACTGAAAAATGAAATTTACCTGACTGAGAAGTCAGTTACGGGAGACGGGCATTTTAAGTTTGATTACTTTGGATTAAGTAATCTAAATTAAGTTTGTTAAAAATTCTCTCATTTGCTACTTAGTTGTAAAAACATGATATAAATAGGAGCTGAATTTTATTGTTTATCCTTATTACTAATTCATTTATTTCCTACTTGTAACATTTGAAAAATAGTAAGCAAAAGACTATTGAAAGAGTTACTTCAGTTATTTGGAAGAATGGTGCCCTCTACTTGAAAGACGCTACCATGGTAACTTGTTCTGATTGTACTTACTCAAATCTACGTATCCAATGTCCACGTAGAGTTTAGCAAACAGAGATCCCATTATAAAGCCAAGGATTGGACCAATCATTCCTATTCCACCCAAAAAACCTGAAAATATTACAGGACAATTTTTATCAGATGCCAAGAATACATGAGTCTTATTCAACATTTTTTTTATAGTAATATTACACAATACACTTCTCCAAATAATTTTTCCGTTAAGTAAAAGAATGAGTTTAGTAACACTATTATTTCAAGAGTAGACCCAGGGAAAGTAATGATACAATGCAATATTTTCTGTATATTACCTATATAGACAGAAGAACGTCCTTCCTTGGCAAAATCATCAATGTAAGACATCCCCAATGGTCCTATGGGAGTTTCCCCTATTCCACGAAGCATATTACCCAATAAGACATATACCCACATGTATGACCCAGTTTCCTTTCCACAACCTGTACAGACAAGAGAGTGTTTTATTTTAAACATTAATTTTAGTTCTTATTAGAAATTCAACTACTTTAAACCCTTAATTGTTCCATTTAATTTTTTTGTTTTTTTTAATTACAATTGATTCATATTCATTTGGCAAAGTTTGAAAATACAGAGAAGCACACATCAAAACCAAACAAGTAAAAATTATCTGTAATCACACTACACGGATCACTTCAAGTGTTGTTAAATGCCTTCCACATTTTTAGTGCACAAAAATATGTATAATCTTTATTATGTATATTATATACTTATTAATAAATATCCAGTTCATATTATAACCTGCTTATACAGTTAACACTATATTATGAAAATTTCCCCATGTTAAGATTTCATTTATATCAAAATTTTAATGACTCTATAGTAGTATGTTGAATAGCAGCTTCATAATTCATTTAATCAATCTCTTAATTTTAAATTGCAAAATATTTCTAATTTTTTATTTTGTTAAACAGGAACGTCATGGTTATACTTGTAAATAAGTCTTTGTGCATATTCCTGATTGTTTCCTTAAAATAATCAATAAAAGTAGAATTATTGAGTTAAGTAGATATGTTTTTGTTCTTTAATATATATTGAAAATTAGTCTCCAGAAAGAGTTGAAAATTTACGCACTCCCTGAAATATATAAAATGTAATATCTTTTTTCCTCCACCTAATTTTTTATTTTAATCTTTTTTAATTTAATAGATAGAAAATTTTTATTGTTATAATTTGTAATTAGAATTTATGATTTGTGTTATAATAGGTAAAAAAATTTTCAGTTGGTATAATAATTCACATTTTTCACAAAGAGCAAATTTTACATTATTTGCGTATTTATGTCACATTCTGCTTTTCTATTTTAAATGCGTATGCTATTTGACAATTTTCGATTGAAATCACTCTCTTTTCTTATCTACTCCTAAAAGCTCTTTATATAAAACACAGTTATTCCTAAGTATACACTGGGAATTTTTTCCAGAACCACCTGTGTATACCCAAATTCAAACAAACTCAAGTTCTGAAGCTGGCTATGTGGAACTCGTGTATAGGAAAAGTAGATCCTCAGCATACACAGGTTTTGTATACTGTGAATACTGTATTTTTTAATTCGTGTTTAGTTGAAAAAAATCTACATGTAAGTGGACTTGTGCAGTTCAAACTTGTGTTGTTTAAGGGTCCACTGTATATATTAAAACTATGATTTTGTCTGTATGTAAGGATCAAATATTTATTCTATTAGCTTTTAAATCCATTTTGCTAATGAATATCACAATAATTTTTATAGATGCAATTAAATTTATAAATTTTAGAATACTTTTATTGTCTCTATTAATTCTTACCTTTTCCCACTATCTCAGGCGAGGTTCTATTGAATGATAAAGTTTGATTACTTAAACAAGTTGCTAAGCTTGATGTTGAATTTTCTGATGGATCAGTGTAAGTTTCTCTAGAATACCTGTAACTATAAGAACATCACTGGATTTAACATTTTGCTTAGCTACTGAATATTTTCACTTTTCCCGGAAATACAGAGAGGTTTTCCCTTTTATCTGCACCACTCTCTTCTCCAAATCCAGAATCCTCTTCGTTAATTTCCCAGCCTGTATTTTAGATGTGATGGGAAAAAGTGAAATGGGAATGTCTACTAAGAAAGATCATTCAATACTCTCCTGGCAAGGTGCATCATCACCTTGCTGTAATCCTGGGAGATGGAGCTAGAATAGGGACAAATACTGATATCCAAAAATACTGAGATACCCTGTGAGCTTCAAAGGCAGCCTACTATATGCCAGGCATTATGCTCAGTTTCAAAAAGCTAGAAATAAAACACTGTTGTTGTACCTAGGGAATTTCACACTCCCTAAGATAAACATATATGATAAAAGATATAATAAGTTTAACATATAGGGTACTGAGTTGTCACAAAGGAAAAAGAGATGATTAGCTTTGCTTGGAGGTGAGGGGGCTAGATCAGAGAAGACTTCACAATGAGAGTAATATGTAAAATGAATCTTGAAGATGGATAGGAGTTTAATAAGTAGACGAAGGAAGAAAAGTATTCAAGGCTGTAGAAACAGCAGGTACAAAGGTATGACATATTATGGCACGATTAGAGCAATGGTCTCCAAACTTTTTGGCACCAGGGACCAGTTTCATGGAAGACAGTTTTTCCACAGACTGGGGAGGGGGAATGGTTTTGCAGCCACTCCCCAATGCTAGCTAGCATCAATGCCTCAGCTCCACCTCAAATCATCAGGCATTAGATTCTCGTAAGGACTGTGCAACCTAGATCCTTTGCATGTGCAGTTTACAGTAGGGTTCACAGTCCTATGAGAATCTAATGCTGCCACTGATCTGAAGGGAGGCAGAGCTCAGACGGTGATGCAAGCGATGAGGAGCAGCTGTAAATACAGATGAAGCTTAGCTCACTCACCCGCCACTCACCTCCTGCCATGTGGTCTGGTTCCTAATGGGCCATGGACCAGTATCAGGGTTTGGGGACCACAGATTTAGAGAACTGCAGGCCTAGACTGTGGCCCTCAAATGAGTGAAGCAATGAAAGATGAAGTTGTGATAGTTGCATTTATGGCATATTCTCCATATAAATCATGAAGATAAGAAATTAATAAGATTAAAGAGGGAACTTAGGGACACACACATTATAGTATCAGAAGCAAAAGCAAAATATGGACATGAAGAAGAGGACACAAAGATAGGAAATGAATCCAGAGAGTGTAATATGATGAAAATAAGAAGGAGCAGTACCACAAATAAGAAAAGTTCTTATAAGGGTCAAATGTAAGGGAAAAAAATAGAATTAATATTGCAACCAAAAGGCATGATTGCCGGATTTGGCAATAAGTAAGTAACTGGTGTCTCTGGCAGGAAATGCTCATTGTCCTTCAATATCCCTTATTCTCTCCTTCCATAGTAATTGAAGTTGAGATTTTTATCTGGGAACATGGAACCTGGAATAAAGTCTATTTTTTAAATATCTTTTTGTTTATGTGCAAAATGTAACTAACTTCTGGTCAATGTGAAGTCAGTAGTAGTATTATGCTTCTGAAAATGTTTTTTTAAGCCTCAGTCTGTGTGCACTCTTTGTTTCTTCTTGTTCTTCTTCTCTTCTTCTCTCCTTCCCTCCTGTTACCTGGAAATACATTGCCATAATTTGGACCATGATGTCAAGGCCATGCAAGGCAGAGCAATACGATGACAAAAAGCAGTATCGTATAATCCTTGGGCTGGCTACATTAACTTTTATGTGAAAAATAAGCTTCTGTCTTACATAAGTGACGGCTATTTTAAGTTTTCTCTCATTATCATCTGACTCTAATCATAAATACACTGTGACATTAGGAAGAACATCCTCAGCGAAATGGTGGTGGGAAAACCTATGCCAACGCGTTAAGTGGTGAAATCTTATTGAGTATAATCAAAATCTTATAGGCAAAGACATGAAGTATATTATGTTATACTAAAAAGTCATAAAGAGAATATTTATTCCATATGAAACTGTACACCTTTTCTAGTGTTATTCTTATTTCAAAGTCTGTGAAAACCATGATGAATAAAGCAATAAATTATTATGTAGAAAATATACTCCATTTCTACACATAGTGGGTTTTCTTCTCAAAAAGTAACTGCCTATTTAAAAGAAAAAAAAATGAAATTCCACTACTAATTTACAAGCTAATGATAATTAATGACACAGAGCTATTTAATACTTACCGTCCCATGAAGAAATGTGGTAGAGCAATCAAAATACCTCCAATTCCCATAGTTAAACAACCAATTCCAATCATCTTTGGTCTGTGTAGTTTGGATCCAAAGTAACTTACAAATACAATGACCAACAAATTTCCTAAAAGGAAGGAGTATAAAATTATGTTGATATGACTTAGTCCAATTTTGTGTCTAGTAGATTCGACAGCCCCTCAGTGAATGTAAATAGAGCCTAAAACATAATACCTTCCCTCAAAGACCAATAATCCACCTGAGAATGAGAACTCACCTGCATTAAGCCACTCACTGAAAAGTTGTATAATAATAATAATAAATAGATTTCATATACAAAAGAAAGCACTTGAATTATTTGACAATGTTAGTGAAGCAAAAATTACTGAAAAATTTGGAGTTGCCTGGATTATATGGGAATGGAGAAAAATGGAGAAAGATCTTCCCGATCGGAGGGAAAGGTAGTCACTCATACATGCATTTATTAATTTATTCCTACCATTTTAAAAAATTTCTATTATGTACCTAACATGAATATCATGGCTTAGTCCAATTTTGTGTCTAGTAGATTCGAAAGCTCCACAATGAATGTAAGTAGAGCCTAAGACATAGTACCTTCCCTCAAAGACCAATAATCTAATTGAGAAAGAGAACTCGCCTGCATTAAGCCACTCATGGAAAAGTCGAATATCATAGTAGGTACATAATGGAAATTAAAAAAAAAAAAACACGGTACCTGTCCTTAAGAAATTTACATACTAGTGACAGAAATCGATAGATAGAGGTGCTATTAGACCACAGAAAGGGGGAACTTAAATTCATTAGGGGCTTCAGGAAAGTTTCCTAGAGGAGAGGCCACTTGAGATTTAATGTTGAGCATACATTATTTAGATTAAAAAGAGAAAGAAGAGCATTCCAAGTGGAGGGAGTCACGACCAATTTCGATCCATCTAGAGCCTCATGTATAACAATGACAGACAGCAATGAGGAATTACTGAACAATGATGGAAAAAAATAGCATGAAAAGTACCAAATGAACCAGCAAATAAAGTAACACAAGAAACAAATAAGGATTAAACTAAAAGTAGTAGAAAATTTTTTAAAAATCCAGTTAGTATCTTTAGAGATACAATAGCATGATGCATCCATAAAACCCAAACTGGCAGACTAAAAATAATAAGAGAACAATAAAGCCTTGTTGTAAATTTAAAATATTATAGAAAAATGTACAAATTAGAACTTGATATGATAAGATGGAACATGGCATCTGAGAAGATTGATGAAACATAAAGGAAAAAGGTAGAAATTAAGAAGAAAAAAGTTTAAAGGGAAAAATACCCAGAAAATTTAATATTCATCTCATGTATGTTTCAGAAGGAAAAAATTAAAAATAGAGGAGGAAACAAATAAGAAACAGAAAATACATTCCCATGATAGTTGCTACATCTCTCCAGCAGAAGTAATGTAAAAAAAGACAGTTTTAGACATAAACTGGTAAATTTTCTGAGATTCAGAGATAAAGAGGAGATGTATATTACTGCATGAGAATCATACTTATAATAATTTCTTATACACAACATTGAATGTTATAAAACAGCAGATAAATGTTTTAATGTTCTGAAAAAAAAGATTTTCAATTTTGAATTCCATGCCCAAATTATCACTTGAATATTATAGTAAATTTTCCAACAAACAAGGGCTTAGGAAATATGCCATGTGTTCAATTCTTTCTTGAAAAAATAACTACAGCCATCCCTCAGTGTCCATGGGAGATTGGTTCCAGGCTGCCCAGCAGATACCAAGATCTGCAGATGCTCAAGCCCCTTATATATGATAAAATGGTGCAGTATTTGCATATAACCTACACACAGCCTCTTGTATATTTTAAATCATCTCTAGATTACATATAATACCTAATACAATGTAAATGCTATGTAAATTTCAGTTGTTATACTGTATCATTTTTATTTGTATTATTTTTATTGTTGTATTGCCATTTTTTATTTTTAGATTTTTTTTAATATTTTCCATCTGCGGTGGTTGAATTCACAAATATGGAACCCACGGATAGAGAGCTGACTATACTTGAAGATATACCACAGGAAAAATAAAGATGAGACTTGAAGTGACAGGATTCAAGAAACATAGGTAAGCAAAGAAATTAGTCAAATTTATAATGATGTTCAAATAATTGCTTTAAACAGTTGCAAAATTTCACAAAAATATTGAGACTCAATTTCTTAATAAAAAGAGAAATATAGTGAATTAAAATTTAAAACTAATAACATTCTAATTCTAAAATTCTAGATGTCTGAGAGGTGGTAGAGTGAAGGACATGTACAGTGTAATATGTTTTGAATCACAAAAATTGGGAATTCATAAGGAAAAGATAAAGAGGTCTTCCTTTAAAACAATTACTTTTTAAAATACTTATTAGTTGGGGGGGCAAGGGCAACATACGTAACCTAAACATCTGTACCCCCATAATATGCCGAAATTAAAAATAAATAAATAAATAAATAAAAGAAAATACTTATTAGTGAAGAATATTATAAATAAAATTAAAAGGTAAACAGCAAACTTATAGAAAAAATTTGCAATCTATACAATAGACATAATTTTGGGGTCCCTCAAATAATTAAAAAGTGGAAAGTAAAAGAAAAAATATGCAGAGGCAATGAGCTACCAATTCATAAAATAAGAAAAATAATTTTCAATAATTATATAAACCTCACTATTTTTGAGGAAACCCAAATTAAAATGGACACAACAAAACAATATCTTTAATGTTCTAAAAATGCAAAGAAGACTTTTATTCCCAAATCCTGTATCCAGTTAAAACAATAGAAATCTGATGTAGGTTGCTCCAAAGTGGTTCCTCCCTCCTCAAATCATAAGAATCGTAGTCCTCCCTTAACCTTTTCTTCACACTAGGGCATCTCCAGAGAGGGGAGGTAAAGCCTCACAAACTGTTAGTTTGCAAGCAATGATTTTATGTCAGTTCAGGGTTTTTCAATATCCTCACTATCAACATTTAGGGCTGGATAATTCTTTGCTGTTGGGTCAGTCCTGTGCATTGTAGAATGTTTAGTAGCATTCCTGGCTTCCAACTCTAGATACCTGTATCATCGCCTTCCATCCTCTGTCCAGTTATGATAAGCAAAAATGTCTTCAGATATTACCAAATTGCCCCCAAGAGACAAATTTACCCCAGTTGAGAACCAGTGGTGTAAAGTATGTATGAACAGTTTTGATTTTTTTTAACCTCTGCAAGTCTGGTTATTAAAATAGAAAAAGAAATTAAATTACCGATTTCAAAGCCTGCATCAATTAAACCAGCAAGAGAAGAGGATATGTCAAATCTCCTTTCTATCTGAGTGATGGAACTTTTCATAATGACTCCACCTTGTGCCTTGGCAATATAGCAGAGTGACAGGGCTGCCAAGAACATCTAAAAAAAAAAAAAAAGCAGAAGGAAAAGGGAAAAATGGTTAATCAAAGGACTAATTGTGTTTATAGGTATATGGAATTAAAACAACTTTTCTTCTTTACTTAAAGACATTATTTTTATCATAAAAAGCATATCCATTTTTCCCCTATACCAATGGGTACTTCTCAGCCCTTTTAAAATTATTAGCACTATATTAATAAAGCATCATTTTCTTTTTGTTATTTCAAAATTAATGTCATTAACTGATTTCTAGGAAGGTAGACACAGTTCTCAGGTGGCCATGATGGTGAGCTATTCTTTATTCTCAAGTGAATAGCATATGCTATGAGGGGAGTGGAAGTATATTCTCAAAGATAGCATTTCCAGGAAGCCAGCTGAAAAATAAACTTTGGGGAGGCAAAGGGAAATTCTATGATAAACAAAAATGACTGACATTTGGTCTGTGATGCAGTGGTTATAAATTTTCAATTTCATTTTAACAAAATGTATTGATTCATTCTTTCTCTTACAGCTGACCTTCACATCGATTAGCAAATTTCTTTTTGTTCTACTATTAAAATCTTACCCTATTATGGGCTGAATGTTTTGTCCCTCCTAGATTTATGTGTTGAAATCCTAATTTCCAATGTGATGGTATTTGTCCATGGGGCCTTTGGGAAGTAATTAGGTCATGAGGATAAAGCCCTCATGATAAGATTGGTGCCCTTGTATGAAGAGAAATGAGATCTCCCTCTCCCTCTCTCTCTCCATGTGAGGAACAGCAAGAAGATGGCTATCTGCAAACCAGAAGAGGGCCCTCACCTAACCCAACCATGCTGGCACCCTCATCTCAGACTCCCCAGCCTCTGGAAATGTGAGAAATAAATGTCTTTTGTTTAAGTCACCAAGTCTATGCTATTCTATCAGCCTGAATTGACTAAGACACCACTTCTCATTGCATTCTACACCCCCAGTGGTCTCCACCATCATATCTAGCCTTAGTCATTGCAAGAGCCTCCTGATAACATCTTTCTACTTCTACTCCAGTCTGCTTAAGAGCTTCTTCTCAACATAGTAACTAAAGAAATCCTTTCAAAATGAAAATTAGATCATGCTGCCACTCTGTGCCTTCCTATGTGCCTTATAGTAACATAGAATCTTTCCAATGACCTACGGGGCCCTAAATAATCTGTCCTATCCTCTAAAGCACTTTATCCACCAACATTTCTTTTTATCTTTCTAATCTCATCTCCTGTTACTGTTGCCCTATTCCTTACTCTTCAGCTACATTAGACCCTCTTGCTATACTTTGAACACTTCAAGTTTATTACAAGGCCTCAGGTTCTTTGTTCTTGCTCTTTTTTTTGATTTTTTTTGTCAATTTTATTTATTAGCAAGTGGGTAATCCTAACCACTGCTAAACATCAGTTATTCTTTTTTTTTTATTTCAGCATATTATGGGGGTACAGATGTTTAGGTTACGTACGTTGCCCTTGTCCCCTCTCCCCGCCAAGTCCGAGCTTCAAGCGTGTCCATCCCCCGGGAGGTGTGCATCGCACTCATTGTTTGTGCATATGCCCGTCCCCTCCTCCCCCTCCCCACTCCCCCTGCCCAACAACCAATAAACGTTATTCTTATATGTGCACTTAAGTGTTGATCAGTTAATATCAATTTGATCGTGAGTACATGTGGTACTTGTTTTTCCATTCTTGGGATACCTCACTTAGTAGAATGTGTTCCAGCGCTTTCCAGGGGAATACAAGAGGTGCTATATCACCATTGTTTCTTAAAGCTGAATAGTACTCCATGGTATACATATGCCACAGTTTATTAATCCACTCAGGTATTGATGGACATTTGTGTTGTTTTCACATCTTTGGAATTGTGAATTGTGCTGCTATGAACATTCGAGTGCAGGTGTTTTTTTCATAGAGCAACTTTTGTTCTTTTGGGTAGATGCCCAGTAATGGGATTGCTGGGTCAAATGGTAGTTCTACTTGTATCTCATTAAGGTATCTCCATATTGCTTTCCACAGAGGTTGCACTAGTTTGCAGTCCCACCAGCAGTGTATGAGTGTTCCTA